TTACTTTCAGACTTTCGTCAAGATATTATTGAAGGTGAGGTGTACACAAAATTGTCAAACGTAAAAAGCTATAGAAAGACCTTTCGAACAAACAAATGTACTATTTACTAAAAGTGGTCGAATTATAGTGTAAAATAAATTTCTACAGCCAGTGTCGAGTTATTACCGACTAGTCACAGTTAGGACTTACGGTTACAGAAATTTTGGTCCAATAAAACGAATTCTATTTTGTCACACTATAGAAATAATACGTAATCGGGACTCCTGCAACTGAAATATGACAAAAAATATATTACGTTCAACATTTATCAAGCCAATTGCAAGTGTATAAATAAATATATGTTTTAAATATATCATTTTTATGATACATAATGTTATATCAACTGTTGCAGGGAAACTTTTTTTTTAACTTCCTATTATATTGTGTACATAGGGGTACATATCTGAATTTTGAAAGGTATAATACCAAATGTAAAAATGTTGAAGTTCATAAACAGACATTTAAAATTTCTACGGTGTTATGACCAGAGCTCAAAATTCCTTAATTGTAATTTACCGAATGGCTGAATAACTAAAATTTCAAAATTAGAACAATAATTCGATAGTTTACTTTGGTATGTTTGTATGTTTGAACTTGGGCATTTTTACGTTCGCCTTTGTAATATTCGATATTCAGACTTATACGAGTACATGTTGCTGTAAATAAACGAAAATTTCGAAAGGGGGCGAGTCAAGGCTAGTCGGGATTAATAACAACTAGCGATAGGGGCTGTCGCAATTTTACGGTGCGCATGTGCATTACAAAAATTCGTCTTTAGATTGAAATGTTTTGTTTTAAGTTTTATATTTCATGGTAAAGGCGTAGTTGAGACCAGGTTGTTGGTGTAAAATGGCGAGTTCATTTTGGTACGATTATCTCGCAAATTTTCATAAAAAAGCAAGTTTAAAAGAAAACCACACCACGCCGCAAATGCGTCTGTGTTTTAGGCACAATGCTGTGCTATATTTCTACGATAAAAAAAATATGTAACTGGTTCTACATCTGATATAGACTGCGAAGACTTAATTAAAACTAAACGCGCAATGGTATATAAATACAAGACAACTTATCAATTTCCTTAAACCACTTACGAGTGATTGTTTATAGCACAAAACATTTTAAAACAAAACACGACACAAAAAGGTAAAAACTACACCTTTTCAGCGTGATTATTTGCTTACGAAACTTATTTAGATTATTTAGACAACATTCAACATATACCTATACATTAATTTCCACTATCTATGTGTGATGGTGGTGCAGTTTTTATCTTTTAGGTTTTTATTTTATTACGGGAATAATATCGTGTGATTTTGGATTCTATTGACGTTGTTGCGGATCTGTGGATTTCTCACATTTATCATGAGTTTCAAGGGTAAGATTTATAAAACGAATTTTTGAGTTCGACTTAGCAAAAATGGCGAGCTAAACAAGTTTTTTGTATTTACAAAACGAACTTCAAAATTAAATACGAGAATATGATAGTACGGGGTTCTCCGTTTCGCTATGTGGATCTCAAAAAACCAACTATGGACTTTACTTTAGCTTTCAGTGTGGTTGAGAAATTGCATAAAAATTTCTTGTAATCTTTAAGTTTATTGAATGTCACGATATGTTTTAATATCACGATATCCAATTGCTTTTTGTAAAATTACTCCACTACTTTTCTTATAATTATTACATCGAGTATATAACCAGAAATAGAGACGAAATAAGGACCTTCCATCCCTGGCAACTCAACAGGTAAATGGGCCTTATATCACTTTTAAATATCAACTCTCGTTTGCGCTGAAATTACAATTTAGAACACTTAAATAGTACAGCGCCAACAACTGAACTGTGTGTACGTCTCCGTATATTCCAAACATATTCTGTATTTATTATAACAATGTAAATCTCTAACTGTGGGGAGCTGTTCCATTCGGTGGTGTGAGAAAAACAGCAAAACATCTAATTACAAAACAAACTGAATCACATTTCATCGGTATTGGCAGAATGAATTTTTTACAATACACATAACGCAATTCATCTAATTGACAAGTTTATTTTCTTTAAATTCTTTGTTTTGTTTGAAAATTCATAATATGAAATGTAAATTAATCATTGTTATGATTCTGCCAATGCGGCCTATTTAGCCCTGCTGATTGACAATATGTTGGCCTATCACACGATATTATACCCCATAACGCAAACATGTAGAGGCGTAACGATGCACAGGCATTTCAGTCAGTTCAATCAGTACATGGTGATGCAGTTTGCATTAACGTAAAACACCAAAATAAGAACACTACTAATTTAACTATACTTTGTCTTCGACCGCGAGTCCTTGGGTCGTGTGTAACTTCTATGTATCATAGTTTAATTGCATTTTGTTTAGGAGTGTCAAGCTACATTTCGCACTGTCAATAATAGAGTGATTTGAAAAGTAACATAGACTGATAGAATAAAACGAAAAACAATAATAATTCATGAAATGTAACTAATAATAATATGGGTAATTTTTCTCTATCTAATTTCCGTGGCAATTTCTATTATTGAAATATTGTAGAATATTATCATGAAGTACTACTTTATTATTCGAGTGTAGTAACCTGAAATATTATTAATTAATATTGCAGTATATTATACTCGAATACTGAAACAATAAAAATGGCCACTCTAATTAGGTAGAGAAAACTAACCTGAAAATTACCCACATAGTTTTTATATCAAACAAAATTTCAATTTGTCATACATATTTGGTACCAGCCAAACGGCATTTGTGGCTGGTGCCACGCACGTTTTTTTTAAAATCTGTTTTGTCAGTTTCCAAAAAAGTATTTTTCGAAATAACTCCCTTACGAATGAGACCTTTGCGACAGCGCTCCTAACAGAAACTCGTTTTGTACAAGAAGATATGTCGCCAACTCTGCCCCCCTTACTAATGCAATAATTATTTTTAGCGAAATTGAGTGATTAACTATATCTGCGAAATGAAGTTCATACTTGACATTGCCTTTTGCTTTTGATTACTCGAGTCGAGATCGAGAGTAGCCCCTGAATCGGAATAAGAGTTCATAGTAAGATCCAAGACTTGGTCTAATAACGTAAGCCGAAAAACGACCTAATGACATAGGTTTTCCTCTTTACGACTACCACCACAGTAAAACAGTAGTTTCAATGTCATTGACTCGGAAACACAGAAGTACAACACCAGCGGGGTGTCTTTACTTTTATTCAGTTCATTAACGACCTCTGTTGCTTAGTGGTAAGCGCTTTGGGCGTCTCAGGTAAGATAAATTGAGGGTGTTGGGGGCAGTGTCTGTCAAGAGCGTATAATCGGGCACTCACGCTAGAGAAAATTCCTTTGTGGATAGGTAATTGTATGTCATTTATTGTGGGCACAAAGTCGCATACCATTTTGAACTGACATAATGTGGTTCGTCTCAAAAAGATATAACGTATTGGTGGAAAACAGCCGGGTCGTAGAAAACCTAAATAGATAAAACATAGAACAAACACACGATGTACACGTGGTAAACCAAAAAGGTGCAATAATACTTTGTGATATGATGAACAACTTTCAATAGAAATTTAATTTTAACACGCAAATAATTTTCGACTTCTCGTGCAAATTAGTCATTGCAACACCAAACAACCAACAAATTTAGTTTAAATATATATTTCTTATTCTTTTAAAAATAAAACAGATGTTTATGATAGATACGAAATGTTAAAAGAACTATTTTGTGTAGTCTGTTGGGCTGGTCTTTACATATTTTTCACATTCGCTCCATATTTTCATATATTTGTTGTCAAGTGTGTCTTGTTTCGTCAAAGCGGGACAAGAGGCTTAATGCTCTGGCCACACAGAGGCGGCTGCGGAAGACACAGTAAAACGCGCGACAGACGCGCGGCCGCCGCACGTTTCTGTGTGGCCAGAGCATAAAAGCGGGACGTATGGTCACGTTAGTCCTACCTGTGCTCACCGACAGCTATTCGCTGTTTCAATAATGCAAATGGTATTCAAAAATGGATATCAGTTGACATTCCACTCTGAAGGTCAGGTTAACTTTCAGTTCAGGAATTTCAGGTCTAAAATATTATAGCACCTTTTTGATATAATTATCTTGTGGACTCTTAGTCGAGGTTACTAACTATTAATCGCTACCACGTTACGTCATGTCACAAGCGTCCTCTCGCTTCACATCCAAATCACTTCAGAGCGCTGTGTGCTTGAGATTTTGGTACAATTAGGCACAATGGTAATACTTTCGGGAACGTGATGATATTGGAAATTTTGAAATATTTGTCAGGGTACAGGAAGGGGATTGGTCGAACTACAAATTGACGTTGTTTCGAATATTCAAATTTGATATGACATTTTTAATGGGCTGCAGCGAACGTGTCGTTGTTTTAGTCATTTTTTATCATTTGTTGTATACATACATTTTATGGTAATAAAAACTGATGAACAGTTTTTTTTAATAGCAGTTAGAATAATTTTGTATCAAGAAGATTAGGCGTTTGTAAGCGTGGCAATCGTGGCAAATTCTTCTTTTTTGAATGCATCCTTCGCAGATTGTTGGTGTGGTGTCACAGTTATGACACGCACAGGAAATTCAAAATCATAAATTTTTCTAGACTCGATGATTCAACCTTACTATGGCTTGCTTTGAGGCATAGTATGCTTCGATAGGTTTTAAAACTGTGGAAAAATTTGAAGCGCAATTTACACGTAAAGCAAACATCTTTACTTGTCTTAATCGAGCAAAATTGCACACGCGTAATTTTAATATCCGCTTGATTTTTTGTTAAGCTTGTTAAGACTAGTACAGGACACGACATGTTAAGATAGGTGGGCGTCAAACGTGTTCAGATAAGTGCATCGAGACGTGTTCAGACACGTCGAAAAGTAAAGGCTCATCCTTTAGTAGGGTTCCAAGCATGTTAAGACAATCACCAAGTAGTGAGACGTGTTACGACAGGTTGATGAGCATGAGACCACGTGTTTCAAACATGTTTACACAAGTGTCCAGTATCGGGACGTGTTAGGACAAGTGTCGGGACATGTTGTAACAAGTGTCGGGACGTGTTGAGACAAGTTTCGGGACATGTTAAGATGGGTTAGGGAGTGGGGGGCGTCTCTCGCACACAGTTCGGTGGTGGGGCGGGGGCTAGCACTGGTTGACGTCTGGCGGCGTGGGTAGGTACGGGTCGGCGCGCTTGTGCTCGATCAGCGCCTTAACGGTCGACGAGTCGGCGGGCAACTCCGATTTCTTGCGCAGCAGCGGCTTGTTGGCGTTGTAGTTCTGCTTGCGCGCCTGCAACAGGAAAAGT